GAAAGAAAGACATTGTAATGAAACGACAATGAACAGAAGAAGAAGATAGTAAATGATGATTAGAAATTAATAGAACAGTGCAGAATCAATGAAAGAAAGAAACAATCGAAAAGAAACTATATAACTTGTAATGAATTCAGGTCTGGAGCAGCATTTGATCTTCAAAGAAATCTGGAAACTAACCCGTAGAACTGGAAGCGTGCCAAGAAACTAAAGAAAATGGAAAAAAACTATAGAGAACCGTGTGAATGAAGTCTTATATAAGCTGAAACCGGAAATTAAATGGGCAAGAACCGGTTAAGTAACAATGATTACCATTTTGATTAAGTAACAATAAGGGTAGGGTTTATAACATGGTCTAAACTGGGTTATCAATCCCCACCGTTGATTGTTGTATGATTTTATTTATATACAAAAGGATTGGGTTTATTACCAGATCTAAGTTAGTTAGCAGCACCCATTGTGTTGTGTGTACTCGTGATAATGTGACTTACTGTTATATATGTGTCTGTATGTAATCATCATTCTCCACAATGATATTTGATCCTCTAACTTTTTCATGTTTAACTGGATATCCTGTAACTTGGATAGCTCTGATTCTGCTCTTTCCCGGTGACTCTTTTCCTCCAAAAGGTCAATGTTCTCATGACTTGATCTCAGTTTTCGCGCTTCCCTAACTTCAGATTCCTAAAATGTCAATTGAAATACATTATCAGAGTACTGTAGTGAACAGATTCAGTGATAACTCAGCTGTAATTTCCTAGCAGGCGGGAAAGGCACAGAATATACTAATCCAGTATTTATAGTTTGAAATTAAAAATTTTAGGAATTAAAAATTTTAAGAATATACTGTAATTAATCAATCTCTCATGTCATTATAAGTCAAGTCATTCTAAGCACGGTCTGATATTTCATTCCCTTACAATTTTCATTAATTTTGTTTAATTCAGTTCAATTTTCATTAATTTTATTTCATCCAATCTTTTTTTTTTCAAAATATAGTAATTTTATTATTTTTTAAGGTCAAATTTAATTTTTATATAAATGTTATACTGAAATTTTTATTAAAATTTACAATTTTAATAAACATTATAACATTTAATCCTTTTATGTACAAAATAATTGTAGTATATGAAGTATACCAATCAGAATTAATTGTCATTTATAGACAATTAACAAGTATTAATAGGTCAGATTGTATTACGTTTTACAAATATACGGTATTGATTATTGGGTTTGATTGTCTAAAAATATATTGCATCAATGGGTAATCAATGGGTTTGCCTCCACAGGCTCTATAAATATACCATTGATGTCTTCTGCAGGTCAATAACTCATCAGAGTGGATTGCGTTCTAGGAGAGGATTGAAGATTAAAAGAGAGCAGAGCAAGGAAGGACGATCGACCCTCAGACCAATTCAATCGAAACATCTTTCATAAACGTTGAAACCCCCACATTACAATTATAATATGTTTATTCTTCTTTTTCAATCTTAACAAAGAAGTAAGTTGGAACACCCACGTCTATTAAGGCTAATTTAATATATATATATATATATAGACACACTGGTCCTCCCAGTTTTAGGAATCGAACGGTTCTCTTAGGACGAACAGCCACCAGGTCGACCACCAAGGGCCGACCGAACGCTCAGGCCGAACGACTCTTCCCAGGTCGAGCATCCAGGTCGCCCATCAAATCGACAACCCAAGCCTACCATCCATCACACCGGCCGACCGCATGGTTAGATCATAAACGATAATAGCTCATTAAAGCCCCTAATGGAGGTTAAGGCGTGGTTGGGCCGTCATCAAGCCCACGAAAGGTAAAAGCCCATTACAACTAGTATAAATAAAGGTCTCAGGTATGACTTCAGACCACGTTGAACATTATGCACACCACATGTATCACTTATAGTGATGACCGTTCAGTCACTTTTACTGACTTGAGCGTCGGAGTGCCTTTAACAGGTACTCGCTCGCCCGACTTGGAGAAGGAGGAGGGAGAACGAACAACTTGGAGTATTAACCGTCCGGCCTTCAACAGGTAACCGTCCGACCTTCAACGAGTTTGTCCAGTCTTCAACTGTCCGGCCTTCAACGAATCCGTCCAGTCTTCAAGGTTCTTCCGGTCTTCAAGACAACTTGGAATGTTTTAAGGGACCTCCAAACCACCCCGAAACATTTTGGCGCTCACCGTGGGGCCGAGCTAGTATTCCCCATTGTAACCACAAGGAACCCGTGAGTGGTGCCTCAAAAGAACGTCAACTCAACCTTTCGGTCTCGTCCTCTCGGTCTCGCCTACTTGGCCACTCGGCCTCGTCCACCCGACCACTTAGCCAAATTTGGCATCAACGATTCGGCCATTCGACCTCGACCACTCGGCCATTCGGCCTCAATGTTCAACCGTTCGATCATAGCTTGACCTTTCAGGTATTCTCTCAAACCTGGCCTCGCAGGTACTTAGCCAAATTTGGCATCAACGATTCGGCTATCCGACCTCGACCACTCGACCATTCGGCCTCAATGTTCAATCGTTCGGTCATAGCTTGACCTTTTAGGTATTCTCTGAAACCTAGCCTCGCAGGTACATAGCCAAATTTGACATCAACGATTCGGCCATCCGACCTCGACCATTCGGCCATTCGGCCTCAACCACTCGACCATTCAGCCTCAACGTTCAACCGTTCGATCATAGCTCGACCTTTCAGGTATTCTCTCAAACCTGGCCTCACAGGTACTTAGCCAAATTTTGCAACAACGATTCGGCCATTCGGCCTCAACGTTCAACCGTTCGGCCATAGCTTGACCTTTCAGGTATTCTCTCAAACTTGACCTAACAGGTACTTAGCCAAATTTGGCATCAACGATTTGGCTATTCGGCCTCAACCGTTTGCTCATTCGACCTCAACGTTCAACCACCGCTCGGTCATTGCTTCACCTTTCAGGTATTCTCTCAAACCTTTCATATATATATATACCTCATCATGAAGAGAATATGTTAGAAGTTTTACATTAATTAAAAATAAAATTAATTTAAATTATATATGTAAATATAAATTTTATCTATGGATTTTGTAAAGTTAAGTTATGTTTAAAATTTAAATTAAATATATGATATAGAATTCTTGTGTTTGAATAGACGTTGACAACTAATGGAAAAAAAAAACTCTTTGAATTTATATAATTGAAGTCAACATGTGAAAGTTTTAGTATATAAGAATATGTCTTTCTTTTCTCTAAAGCTTTTTGAAAAATTATATATAGGTATATACATTTAACATGCGTATTTGATTAGTAATTTAATTTACTACCACATTCACACGTGTGACATCCTTTTACAGTTTTAGGGATGGTGCGTGCATGTGATCTGAGCTTATTAGTTAGTTTGATGAATCCATTGAATTTGATCTATATTTCACCTAAAATATTCAAAAAGCATATCTTGATTTTCATTATTGAGTCAAATATCTCATACTTCTTAATTAGTGTTATACAAGATTTTTTGTGAGTGTGTATAATTGTATGAGGAAATATAGAATAGACAAGTGAGTTATATTGAATCCTTTGACGAGGAAATAGATCCAGTAACTTTAAATATTTTAAAATCTTTTAGCCAAAGTTTACCATTTTAGCCTCTGTAATTTTATTAGAATTATAATGATTTAATTAAGTTTTGAGTTTTAAATTTTTTTATTAATTTTATATGATTTATTAAGTATGTCAAGTCTTTATATTTTTTTTAAAATATTTCTCATTTTATTTGTGTTAAGAGGGTAAGATGGGTATTATTTTGTTATGGTATCTTGTTTATCTTGTTTATTTGTGTATGTACCAATGTTTTATTTTATGATTAATATAAAATAATGTTACAATTAATGTAAAAATAAGTAATTTTAGGTTTAATACCCTATTTTGTCCCTAGTTTCGTTCGAGTATGTCAAATTAGTCCCAAGTCTACATTTCATTGACGCAATTTTTATCAAGTGAGGACCTAATTGACACACTTTTTAAATGATAGACTAATTTGACACATTCAAGCGAAATTAGGAACAAAATAGGATATTAAACCTAATTTTTATTAAAAGTATGTTGGATATATAGCAAAGGTTTTTCAGTGTTACCTGTATAATATATAATATTTTTATTGTTTTTAATTAAAATAAAAAAGTTACTTGTTACTTTCATTACTATTAAGGGTTAAATATGTTTTTAGTCCCTGAACTATCAAGCGATTTTGGTTTTAGTCCCTACTTAGAACTTTGATGGTTTTTAGTCCTTATTGTTTTGAAACTCTGAGTAATAGTCCTTAAAATTGGACGGTGTTAAGTTTCAGTGGATGTGGCAAACGGCGTTGCCACGTGATCACTGATCTGCTCTATTCTCTGTCTGCCACGTTGGATGTTTAAGTGTTTGAACTGAGATTAAGTTAGTTAATCACTTCGTGAGCGCGGACGTCGTTTCGAATGGCGTGTGCAAGAAGCGGAAGGTATCGCGGTCGTGGCGGTCGCACCTGGCGTCGGGGAGCTGGAGCCTGAGCCGGGAGCAGGGGAGCAAGCTGCTCGGGAGGCAGTTCCGCGACGATATCCTGTACGTTGGAGGAGCTGATATCTACATTATGAATGGTGCTGGTTTTACCCTCCAATTCGTCAAGAATGTCATCATCCATGGAATCAAAATTTTTGACATTAATTCTGGCAATGGTGGACTTATCAGAGATTCTGAGACCCACTACGGTCAAAGAACTCAGAGTGATGGTGATGGAATTTCCATCTTTGGCTCTAGCTATGTTTGGATCGACCATGTTTCCATGAGAAACTGCAAAGACGGAATGATCGATGCCATTATGGGTTCTACTGCCATTACCATCTCCAATTGCCACTTCACGGGACCACAAATGAGGATTAATTGTTTAGTTCTAAAATACATTTAGAAATAGTTGTAATTATAATGAGATGGATCATTTTAAAGTAATAGAGAGTAATTTATATATGATTCAGGTGATGCTGTTTGGTGCGAGTGACAGCTATGATGGTGATAAGCTAATGCAGATCACACTGTTATTCAACCACTTTGGTAAGAGATTAGTTCAAAGAATGCCAAGATGCAGGTTTGGTTTTTTCCATGTGGTTAACAACGACTACACTCATTGGGAAATGTATGCCATTGGTGGTAGCAAGCATCCTACAATTATTAGTGAGGGCAACCGATTCACAGCCCCCAACGACAATAATGCTAAAGAGGTAATATATACTCAAATCTATCATTTTTCTCATGTTGGTATCATCATGAATTTATATTATACACACATATAGTTGAAGACTTTGTGATGAGATGCAAAATGAAATTGATTGGTGTTGGTGAAGGTAACAAAGAGGACCTACGCAACAGAACAAGAGTGGAAAAACTGGCAATGGAGATCAATCAGGGATGAGCTAGTGAATGGAGCTTATTTCAGAGAAAGTGGGCCCGTTTTAAAGAACAGACCCTTCACAAAGAAGGACATGGTGTCCTCCAGGCCTGGTTCGTATGTAGTAAGGCTCAGTCGCTACGCTGGGGCCCTAAGATGCTTTGAGGGCAAACCTTGTTAGACATCATCATCATCACCACTCTGTGCCAAAACCAAATCCCTCAAAACTCCTTTCCCTCCATCTTTCTCTGACATCTGTGTACATTCCATGCATGTAGAGATACGAGGTAGATATTCTTGTATATTCCAACCGCTGATGTTTATTTCTCACTGTTTCTGTTTCTTTGTACAGTCTCGGATTTCTTTATCGTATGTATCAGAAAAATGGATGTTAATGCAGTTTAAATCATTTGGATCTTAATCCACACTAGGGGAGACTCCGTTGCAAAGAAAATATCTTTAAAATAATTAGAAAAATCTAGTGGTATTGAGTCTTAGTACGTACATCGTTGAAAAAAAAAAGTCCACAAAGATGGACGTAGTAAAAGAAAAGGAAATTAAAAAGGAAAGGACAAGAGAATAGAAAGGAAAGTAAAGTAGAAAGGAAAGGGAATGTTCAAGAAATTAATTAAAAAATATAAATTAATTTTAATTTTAATTAAAATTAACTTAATAAATATAAATTAAATTTAATTTTTTACAATAATAAATATTCGTAAATATAAGTAATATGATATTCATGTCTCATTTGTTTATAGTCAAATATTAAAATATTATCTGATAAGAATATAGTTAACTCGATTCACTACAAATTTGATTCACGAATATTAAATATAAATTTTTGGTCAATTTTTTTTTTTTTTTTTGGGGGGGGTTTCCCCTTTGGGGTTCCTTTTTGGGTTTTTTTTTTTTTTTTTTTTTTCTTTTTTTTTTTTTTTTTTTTTTTTTTTTTTTTTTTTTTTTTTTTTTTTTTTTTTTTTTTTTTTTTTTTTTTTGTTTTTTTTTTTTTTTTTTTTTTTTTTTTTTTTTTTTTTTTTGTTTTTTTTTTTTTTTTTTTTTTTTTTTTTGTTGTAATTATGTAGTAATAAATTTTTGAATACTTAAAAAACGTTTATATTAAATAAAATCCTGAATTCTGGAAAAATTAATAATTATCTAGAAAGTTCTACATCTTAAAAACCATTAATTTGAGTCCCTTATACCTAATGAAATCATAAGGAAGATGCGTTCAGAGACCCAACTAAAAACTTGTGAAGTATTAAAATCTATATAAGATTTTCAAAATATTCAAGAAATTATATATTAATTCATCCTTAAGAAATTATGTATTAATTCATGAAAGATGATACCGAGTTTGTGGTTATTTATTGTGGTGTCAGAAAGTCAAGGTGGATTTGAGGGAGTGAATTTAAGGGGATTTGAGAGAATTTGAAGATAAATTTTTTTGTCATTTATTTGAGTGAATTTGGAGGTAAATGAGAGTGAATTTGGAAATAAAATTTGTGAGAATAGTACTAAATTTGTATGAGTGACAATTAAAAAAAATTATTTTCAAAGTCACTCTCAGTTTAACTTCCAAATTCACTCAAATAACACGACAAAACAAATGTATCGTTTAAATCCTCTCAAATCGCCCTCAAATTCACTCGCTCAATCCACTCAAAAGAACAAAGTGGTTTGTGCATAGATGATTGTGAAAAGATTACCAATTATGGCTATGTTGGCATAGTTATCCATCGAGAGACACTAAGGTGGCATGGGCCCAGTATGAAATTATATATTAATTCATCCTTAAAAAACGCCAAAAATAATTGTTAAGTAACAATTAATTTAAAGACAAAATCTAATTAATTATGATTAAGTTAGGATCTAAAATAATTTTATTATTAATAAAAGATTATAATTAACTTGTAAATTAGAATATAAATAAATCTTTATATATTAGCTATAAATTTACTACAAACTTTGAATATTATGTTCATATCAATCTAAATGTATTTTATTAATAAAATGTTTAAATATTTAATTTTATATATTAAATAATATGTTTAATTAATATAATTAATTAATTATATTTTGTCTGTGATATTCTTCTTAAGTGAATAGAAACATATCCTATGAAATATGTGGATTTGAAAATCTATTAATTATATATATATATATATATATATATATATTCAAACATTGATTGTAATATTCTATTGTAATAAGATATAATTATGGAAAGAATATCACACACCATATTTAAGTTTAAGAACAAATAAATATATATATATATATATATATATATATATATAAATAAAGATTCTATATAATTAAAAGATATAATTTCACTAATATAAAATATAATACGAACATAAAAATAACTATAATATTTTCACACTATGTTGTTGTTACATATCATGATCCATTATTAATTTTTATGTGTTAGACCATTAAAGTAATCATTGTAATTAAGGAGAACATACATATAGACAAACACAAAAGAAAATATAACTAGTGTGCAAAAAGGTATTACCAGAAATGTGATCAGAAGCACCTGAGTCAATTACCCATGAATTTGACCTTCCCTAGATTGAGAAAGGCAAGTTGTTGATGTATTGGGAGATTGAGATGGTGTGCCAAGTTGTTAGACTTTAACCTTAATACTCTTGATATTCATCCTCAGAAAAAATAGAAGTGGAAGTTTCAGTCTTCAAAGTGGAAGTTTCAGTCTTCGAAATATGGCATATGGCGGATTTGGAAGGAAACCATGCAAGGAGTGCAATTCTCTTAAGTATGACCCCTCTTTTACAGTATGTGCATTGAGGATGTCCCCGACCTCCTCGTCCTCCTCCTATAGTGCCACCTCTCTCTTCCTGTGGCAACCATGAAGATGGTTCCACTAGTTCATGCGCTTCGAGTTTGAGGTACCGGGACAAGCAGAAGGTGAGTGGTCAATGTTTCCATGGAGGGGACCTCATGACTAGCTAGAAGTTGATCTCTAAGATGATCAAAATCGGGATGTAGGGCACAGAGGATCAACACCATGTAAAATTTGTCTAGTTTCTTTTTGATATCTGTAATGGGTCCGCTTCCAAAAATATCATGAGTTCTTCGACAACAGATTGGGCTTCAGCCATGAAGGACACCATATAGATATGTCATTTTAAGAGATGCAAGCTTGTTCGTAGTGCCATAAAGACGTTGAACGTCATTGGCATAAATGCTTTGGGCTTTCTTCCAAAAGGAGTGCAAGTTTTGAAGGCCCTCAAAGATACAAGAAGTTTGGGTTCCACTGATTGCCATAAGAGGGCACACAACTGAAAATCTATTTGTTTCCACTGATCAGCTTTTTCAGTAGGCACATGGCTTCCATCTTGCTTAAGGTGGTCATAATGCCCTTGGCCAAGGAACCACACTTAAACGGCAGGAGACCATGATAGATAATTTTTTTCATTTAGCTTCTCGGAGGTAATTGATGGACTTCCGGAGAAGGAAAAAGTACTGCCAGATGCCATTTCTTAAGAAGACAAATAGTACCAGCGAGGAACAAGAAAACCCTAAGGGTTTAGGCGAACAGAACTATGACAGTGATGGACGATGGTGGCCGGCGATGGCGGACGGCAAACGGTAGCCGACGATAGCGGACGGTGGCCGGCAGCGGATGGTGGCCGGCGACGGATGACGGTGGCCGGCGACGGCGGACAGTGACCGGCAACAAACGACAGTGGACGGCGGCGAACAGTGGTCGGCGGCGGGCAGCGGCAGACAGTGGCGGGGGACGACGGACTGTGGCAGCGGACACACTTTGATACCAACTTGAGAATTAAACTGTAAAATAATTCTAGAAGGCTTGATTGATCCTTCTCATAATCTTCTATTTATAAAAATAAATTGATACAAAAGTACATGATAAATAGTGTAACCCTAGACATAATATAATCATGATAAATAGAATAATCCTAGACACAATATAATCATGATAAATAGGATAACCTTTTACATAATATAATCATGATAAATTAGGATAAATATCCTAACAATTATATTATATTTAAAAATGAAAGTTGGAGTCACATATCCCAACTCAACCCATTCAAGAATGCTTATCCATTTATCTAAATAACTATATCAATTACCACTTAACAATTAATTCATTCAATTTTCATATTTTTTTTCAAGTATTAAACTGATTAAATGACCGTAATTGTATCTAGTTTGGAGAAAGGGAATATCACCTTCTCGGTTCCTTTGATTACAAAATATCCTCCAGGATAAGAAGCGCTCACCTAAGAAAAAAAAAAGCAAAACAGGCAAAAGTTTTTATACAAAAATACTGGAGTAAGACGTTCTTCCCCTATTGATGGTTCGCCAACCTTTACATTTAAAAACCTGCAGGAGGGATCAATAGCAAAGAAGATCTGAAAAACCAGAGGAAATTATAAAAATATCAAAATAAAAACTAAATATGCTATGTACCTCAGGTATATATGAGGGTGTTCAGTAGCTACGATAATATGATTATCACATATCACGAACTATTCTTTGTATATCGGTTTCAGAAGAATTAAAAGAATCTGCTTTGCCAATTCCCTCACCAATTGTTAAAATATCAAGAAATTATTAATGATAAACACTTAACTACAAAATATGAATACGCGTTATTACCTCGTCAAAGTAGGAAGGAAGAAGGTCGAACAGCAGATTCAACTGGAGTTCTTAACATCTTTTCAAACCTAACTTGCTAAATTGGGGAAACTGGAATTAAAATCATTAACATGTTTAAAATGATGAAACGAAAACAAAGCAATACAAAAATCCTAAAAACTAGTGCAGAAAACAAAATCTGATACGCAATGCAATGCTGGAATGAAAACTGAAATGAGTACTATTGATAGAAATCTGACATTATGAATATGATAGAAATCTGAAATGTTATTTGGATCAGAACATAGAAACACAAAACGCGTTACAAAAACAGATTGAAGAATCACTTCTGAATAGAAAACATAATTAAAGTAAAAAACAGAGTAAATTTTCTAAGTCGGAATCGGCAAACGGAAAGAAAGACATTGTAATGAAACGACAATGAACAGAAGAAGAAGATAGTAAATGATGATTAGAAATTAATAGAACAGTGCAGAATCAATGAAAGAAAGAAACAATCGAAAAGAAACTATATAACTTGTAATGAATTCAGGTCTGGAGCAGCATTTGATC